CCAGTAGAAAATATACTACGAAACGTTTAGAAATTATGTGTTTTCCACCGTTTTCTTAAGTTACTACTATAGATTCTCATTTTAAATAAGAATCAAAAGTATAAAATTTATTTTACGTTTATTGGTTGAATCTTCCCACTGATGTTTAGGAATCCAACTTATCAGTCCCTTTTGACACGTTTATCCTCTGCGGATTATTTTTATTATTATTATTTATTATTATTTGAACACATAAATATTGGTACAAGAGACCGCCAATATATATGCGCCACATAAAACAATGAAAATTCGAAGAGAAATGGAAAAAAGAAAAACTAAGGAACACAAAAGAAAAAGAGAACGATAACGAAGAGATTGGTGTAAGGTAGTGTGGTCGTAACGATGGAACGGAAAGGTACAATCAGAAGAAATCTTTCAAGTAAGGGAGACACAATCACTTTTCATGAAGAAAGTAAAAGAATGTTACAGCAGGATCGCCACTGGCTTCTATTCTGAACTATATCTGATAACGTCTCTAGCCACTGTGTAGCACCGTCTCTCAGACCCCAACCAGGGAGTCGTGAAGGACCGACAGAAGCCAGTCCTTTGCAGCTTTCTTTCATACCACGACACCATGTCATGCACTGACCACCTCTCCGCTTTTTCCAACCAGTCCCAGAGTCGGCAAATAATGCACGACGTAGAATTCTCTGGGACGACATTCGTAGAACATGTCCAAGCTACCGAAGTCGGTGTTTCAAGATGGTGACACCAATTGAATTATCATCTCTGTGCCCAAACACACGATGCCGAACCTCTGCATTACTGACATGGTGTTGCCACTGAATGTCAGCAATCCTTCGGAGACAGCGATGATCGAACACAGAGAGTCGTCTAACGTCCTCAACACGGAGAGGCCAGGTTTCACAAGCATAGAGCAAAACTGCTCTCACCGACGCGTTATAGATCCGACCTTTTACAGCCAGACTAACATCACGAAGGCGCCAAAGATGGCCCAGATTGGCATAAGCCGCTCTGGCTTTCACTATACGTGCATTGATCTCACCACTCACACCCCCACCAGCACTTATGCAGCTACCCAGATACACGAACTTCTCGACTACTTCTATCTGCTCACCATCCAGGGTGAGTACAGGATTGGAATCCTGCCAGTCTTGTAGAAGTACTTTGCACTTCGAAGGTGCAAAGCACATACCATACCTACGGACACTGATTGCCAACTGATTAAGTGCGGATTGCATGCCTTGGGCATTATCGCACAGTAAGACAATATCGTCCGCATACTCAAGGTCGAGAAGTCTTTCTCCAGGCAACAGATCAACACCACCATTACTTACATTCATCAGAGCTGTTTCCAGAATGTCATCGATGGCAAAGTTGAATGGTGAGATTGGGCAACCCTGCCTAACCCCACTACTCGAATAGAACAATGGAGAGAGGTGGTTGTGTGCCCTCACTCTGCCTGAGGTGTTTTTATATAGGGCTTTCAAGATGTTAATAAACTTCTCAGGCACACCCTTCTTCAATAGACAATCCCAGAAAACAGTCCTATCCAGCGAATCGAAGGCAGCCCTGATGTCAAGAAACACTACGATTGTTGACCTGTGATAAGTATGGCGATGTTCTAACATTTGGCGGAGGGTGAAGATATGATCAATACACCCTCGACCAGAACGAAACCCAGCCTGCTACTCGCGAGTCAATCTTTCTCGGGTTTTGAACAACCTACGAAGTATGATGGAAGCCAATAGCTTGGACGCAATCGGAAGTAGACTTATCCCCCGATAGTTGTTACAGGAACGACGTGAACCCTTTTTAAAGATAGGGACAACTATCGACTCATTCCATGACGTTGGTACACTCTCTAGTTCCCAGACCTTTGTAAACAACGTCGTCAATTCCTTAGTCAAAAAGTCACCACCATCTTTAAAAAGAGCCGGAGATAAGTCATCTGGGCCAGGTGATTTGTAACGCTTCAAGAGTTGAAGTTCCTTGCGGACTTCCTCGTCGTTTGGTGGATCAGTCGTCACCGGCCATGGAGGGCAGTGCAGTCTGACCGATGTTGCCGGAGCAGCAGGCCAGTTGAACTGCTTTTCGAAAAATTCCGCCCATCGTCCAAGACGTCGATGGATGTTAGTGATTGGCATCCCATCAATCTCGCAGATTGTTCCACTCACACCAGACTTCTTGCTGCCAGTGGCTCGGATGAGTTGGGAGAGCTTCCGGTAGTTACCAGATGCAGCTGCTGCTTCCAGCTCATTAGCACGCTCCGACCACCAGGCTTCTCGGTACTTACGCAAGCTTTGCCCAATTTCTTTACGTAAAATCCTTCGTTTGTGGTCAAACTCACGGTCACCCGGAGTAGACCGATGGGCTTCAATAAGTTGTAAGGAACCAGAAGAAACCCAGTGCTTAAAAGCGGGACGTTTCGCAAACCCACAACTGACTGTTCCCGCCATTTTCATGGCGTCATGCAATTGCAACCAATGCTCATTTATACTTTTCGGTGGAGTGGTAGCTAGCCTAGAGGCTAGCTCGGTTCGATACTTACTTGCAACAGAAGTTGCAACCAGCTTGTTAATATCAATTCTTTGATGGCGGTCACTTCGTTGTCCACTGAAAAGTAAAGCAAGATTGGCGCAGACCAAGGCATGGTCAGAGTCCAGATAGGTACTCCAAAAGGAGCGGCAGTCTTTTACACAACCACGCCAGCGGAAGCTGATCGCGATGTGATCAATCTGAGTCCAGGCTTGGGATGCAGAGGGAGGACGCCAGGTGGCACATCGGCGATGACTGTGCCGAAAGTTAGTGCTAGCCAGAAACAGGTTGTGGTCTGTGCAAAGTTGCAGTAGACGGTCCCCGTTATCTGACCTGCGACCAACGAGTCCCCATTGGCCACCTAAACGACTCTCTTCTGTGCCTAGACGCCCGACTTGAGCATTCAAGTCTCCGGCTAGTACTACAATATCTGTCGAACGCACTTTCTGGAGAAGAACAGACAACTGGTGGTAAAACTCATCCTTGATTGCATCCGGGCTGCAATCTGTCGGGGCATAGGCGGAGATGACGAAAAGACATCGTTTCTCACACCGATTTCTTCTCACTTTGATGGAACTTTCTAATCTACTAGCACATAACCGACTGTTAATGGGGATCCAATCGACTAGTGCTGCCTCAGCTCTAGCGCTTAGTGCGACACCAACGCCAGCAAGACCAGACGAAGATGCCACAGGGTCCCCGGATAAGTGCACGTAAAACAAGCTTTTCGAAGCGACAGATGGAGATCGAATTTGTAGTACTTCGTCAGAGTCTTGAATACGGGTCTCGGATATACAACAAACATCAATATTAAGACTTTCCAAAGACATAGTCAGCCCTATCTGTTGTCCGACCTGCACTAGTGTGCGAACATTGAAGGCAGCCAGTTTGAATGGTGCACGTGGTTTCAGAAAAACTGCTTCAGTTCTCGTATTCAGTGGTAACATACAATTTTCAACCGGACAGTGACTCGAGAACGTTTAGATACAGTCGAATTTTCACCAAAGACGAGCGGCTGTATAAGTATAAAAGAGGGTGAATAATGTGGAAAATAATAATAAAAATAGTAATAATAATAATGACAATAATGGTAATAATAATAATAGTATTAATAATGAGAATAATTGTAATGACAATAATGGTAATAATAATAATAATAGTATTAATAATGACAATAATAGTAATGATAATTATTTGAATCGATTGATTGTTTATCGGAACGAGAAAAGTAGTTGCCATAGACATAGAGTTCATCGTTTGTGTGTGGGCAGTGATACTGCCCGGGTGCCCAAACCGAAGCGGATTACGTCGATGTTGTCACTAAGTCACGAGCATTTTTAAGAAAGGATTCCACTGCTAGCCATCATCCATCTCCGCTTATAAAATTTGTGCTGAATAGTCAATATCGAGATAATAATAAAGTCTAGCAAAATATGAAGAGATATTTACTCCACAAGTATTTCGTAGATTATAAGGCTTCTTATAAATTTTGGATGTAAGGTTTTTGTTATTTCCGAACATACTATTAATCAATAACTAGCCCATGAGATACTACATCAGATGAATCAATTCACTAAAACAGAAAGTTTCTGAATAACTAAGCTAATATATTCAGAGTTATAATTCAATCATTCTTATTATTCAACAATGCTAATTTCCTATTTTCCACATCAAAAAGTTTATTCATATAATATACATAGTATAATCGTCAAAATTCCTACTTCCAGACAAATTTACCTGATCAATTTCAATAAACTTTCAATCACCATGTAAATTACTTAAATAATCCTTTGATTGTATCTACAGGAACATGGTGCACAACTACTCTCTTCCTATAACACAAATATTAACAATGTAAGAACCGAAACACATTTGGATCAGTTTGAATTGTCACGTTTTATATAGGCATGGCAAAGAATAAACAAGATGAAATGAAAAGTAGAAAACGCTGTTCAAAAAGAAAGAATAAATTAGATGGAAAGTTTTTTTTTCAAATACTAGGGCTAATATTTAGACGAAAAGAATGAATAAATGAGCGTGCTACTGTGACTGATTTTGAACTATAATATCTCAAGTAATCAACTAAAAATTATAGTCATGTTACAAAACTCAACCAAAAACAGATAGTCCCCTCGACAAAACTCAGATCAAAAGCAATGGCTATAGTGGCTAGTAGTTAAACTATTTCGTTTAACTTAATCATTTTGCGACTTATGTGGTAGGTAACATACTAACAGCAACGTTTCAAAGATAGATATAATCCAACACTTGCAATCTAACCATCTTCTAAAACTGTAGGATAATTCAGTGCTAAATGTTGCGTAGTATATTTGTCTTTTGATATGCTACAAATGATAAGGAATCATGGAAAGCCGGATTGTTTCTTACCATCGCCAAGACTTCTTCAAATTGCTAACCATTTATGTTGAGATATTCAACAAACGTTGGATTTAATCATAAATTTACGAAATATAGTTATACAGAAGCTTTAATGCAAATGAGAATACGATATTAGGTGATAAATCAATATAATTTCGAAGCAAGTCAACACTAGTTTCATGTAGATAATACCAAACAATAGTTCTTTTCCAAGTAAATAGCTTTGTAGTCCACATATTACATTGACATGTACACATGTAGAAATTAATAAATACAGCAACATAGCATGCAGACAACTCTTTCTTAAGTCTTATATTATTCAAACGTACATTTGAAAAATCAATTGAATATTGAGTGTTTGGAAGTGATAGACATGAAGTAACCAGGTCGTTTTCTTGTTTTTTCTGACTATCCGAATGTTCAATAAACAAACGCCCAGAAAGCATTAGAACTATACATATATATTTATAAAAAGAAAACCTCCACAATATTCAATTTAATTCAAATCATAAACCGATCAATGTTAGACCGCCACTGAAGACCTGGAAGCATTGAACCGCTGTTTCTTCCCAGTATGGGACTCTTCAAAAGTAGGCAACCGCAACTCCGTACGCGGGAATCGAGCCTGAGGCCTTCAGCACCGCGCGCAAACGCTTAACCTCCAGGTTGTCAGTAGTGGTTTAACACACTGATCAATTCATAGTCTCAACGAAACTAAACAATCTCTAAAACCCTATGCTGGCAGTTTAAATTAATGTTGATCACAGAATAATAAAAATTCCTCACCATTTACAACTTAAAAACATCTAGTCCAATCAGAAAACTGAAACTCCCGTATAATCCGGCCATGTTATAATAAGAAAAGGAAAACAGAGAACAAACTTACATTATAAATTCATTAATTCGAATAAACACTTCCAAGAAAAAAAAAGTTAAAAATAATCCACACCAATATAGTATAGATGTATAGAGAAAAATCACCGAAAAACGCACACAAAACTTATTTGACGCTGTGCTAATTATGAAAATTTATAAATACGTTTATATATTTGTATGCAGAAACCTTATATCAAAAAAATCAGGTTGTCTGAAAAACATTGAAATACAATATTAAAACAGTAGAAAGACGTATTTTGACTACTTTTAGGTTAAGATGATTAAATCAAAATTAGAAATATAACTTACACTGTAACTAGAAACCGAACGACAATCGAAATCCTAGCTTTATAAAGATGAAATTAGTTACAAATTTTTACTGGTTACAAGTTTTGTAAGTTGGGTAAGTTCATAGTTTAAACCTAATTGAAAACATCCACTCTTCCCAAAGAATAGAGTTCATTATTTAGCGTTATATTTTTTTTAATATTAAACATCCCTATAAGATTGAAAAAAAGTATGGTTATAAGGTGATCTAATTTATTTCAATTAACTAATGAATTGGTTACAAAGTTAAAAGAAATCATACAGAGTTTTATAACCATGTATTTCCTCCCCATCTTTCTCGATAAGTCAATTCACCACAATCATATTCTTGGAACTGCCGTTTCTATTAGGAAAAACAAAAGTCAAATAACCATATGGTATTGAATCAAATACAATATAAGCATGTGAAAACTAATAATAGTTCAGAACAATCTAAAAGTTCCTTATAACAATTTATACGGGATTATTGTTTGAAATTTAATTAAGAAGAACAATACTGGTTTCCCTCCTATATTACGGTTACAATGACAGAGAATAAATACACACAACGACGTGAAATACATAAAATCAATAATCCTATGAATTATTACTGTCACATTTTTCGATTGCCGCATGTGTGTACTTAATTATTAATGGTCTCTCCATTTGAGAGTAAGATTAGGTGGTTAAAACAACATTATGTTTGTTTGGTTAGACAATATGTTACTAAAATATTCAAGAGTATTGGGATGTTTAGCTCAAGTAGATCTTACCATATTTAGATTACCTAGCAACATATTCCACAACATAACACTAAGTGACTTACGCAGCTGTCAGTCAATCATACACAACGTAGAACCTGATATACTAGTCAACCTAAGTTGCAACATCACATGGGAACTGCAAGATAAAATTAACAAGATAAATCCCAGAGTACTAAAAGTGATAACCAGTATCAGTGTGATGTGTGTTACTTATATCGACATAAGTAGTATATGACGTTACTCGTGAACAGAATGTCTGGAAGCGGAGAGACAAGAGGATCGAACAGTAAAGAAAGGGAACAAAATGCAATTTGTACGAAAATGTAAGAACAATGAAGTCTGAGTCATTATGAGACAATCGATGGACATTTTGCAAATTATGTATTTACTATTTCATTGTTAGATTTTATTAACAAGTCCTGTAATTTTGTGTCAAATATATTCGGCTGTTCCCACCCGTGTTCTGTTCACTACATCGATAGTGGTAGAAAATAATCGGAACAAAGAAGTGTGGAATGTCGGGATTCGAGAACAAAAGGGAGATAAAATCAGAATGCACCTGCACCATTATGGACGATTCTGAGCCGTCACCCAGTCTCTAACGACTGATCACGATAATTGCGTGGACCTCAATCAGGTAATATACACTTACCTACATGACTTAATCCAATGGTCAGCGACTTCACTAATTTATGCCATCCCTTGTTTTGAGCGCTACTAGCTTTCTCCCAGCCTACTCATACATCAGACATCACGCGCCAAGGTAAAGGGTGATTGGATATAAGTAACATATGTCCCAGCCGCTTCAGTGGATAAAGATTCACTACCTCATCAACCAATTTTCTATCTCGCCCAATTCCCTTATGCCTAAATTTAGCAGTGCTCACTCTGAAGTCTCAAAATACACGAGTAATGGTTCGAAGACACCTATGATCGAGTACAAGTAACCTATGAATATCCTCTCTTCCTAATGGCCATTTTCGACACCCATAAAATATAACAGAGTGAACTACTGAACGGTAAACCCTTCCTTTGGTTCGGTAGACGAACGGCTTGCTTAAACCACGGGTTATACAAGTTGGTTAAAGTCAAAAGAACTTTTCGGATTCGTGTTGAGAATTTGTCAGACACCAGTACATCAGATCTGATAAGATTTGCAAGATAAGTGAAGTGGTTAGCGCATTCAACTACTTCACTTTTTATTACTAACTGAAGTGTTGAAGTCCTGAAGAAATATTTTATATTTAATGGGAACGAATTTCATCCCAAACATGCTGGCACTATTGCTTAAGATGGTTAGGAAACTCTACACTTTGTCAGCGTTCTCACCGAAGAGAATCGTATCATCTGAGTATTGCGAATCGATGAGTGAATTTCAGGTTACGAGGCTAACCTCCAAAAAAGTTTGACGAGTGTTGTCTTTAAAGAGATGTCTATGAAGAAGTCAGACATAAATAAAGTGGACAACCCTGGTGAAATGCTAAGGCGGTCACAAGAATAGTTAAATTTTATTAGAAATACTAAAATCTCTTCAGGAACGATAACTGCCCGCACATTTGAAGTTGACAATTCTGACGACAGTTCGCTATAAGCTCTTACTAGACCTGCAGTGTTCGGGTAAAGAGCCTGTGTAAGATTGATGTACTTCCTCGGGAAACCTTTTAAAAACAACCATTGCCACAAAAACTAATGATCAACAGGGGCGAACGCTACCTTAAGACCAAGGAATACAATTATAGTTCAGAGTCGGAAAGCATATCTAGGTTCTAAAACTTGAGGAAGAGTGAAGATTTGGTCTACATACTCACGTCCAGGTCTGAAACCAGATTTTCTTCCCCAAGTTTTCTCTTAACGGGCCTTAGTTAACAGTTGAGTGATTACAGAGATTATTCTGGACACTATATTAATCAGGCTGATTCCTCTGTGGTTGTCGCAAGAGATTTTGTCCTTTCTCATAGACTAAGACGATCAGCAATCCAGACTAGTCAAATGGAATCATGTCCAATTCCCGAATTCTAGGATTTCTGTCAGTCTTACTGCTTAAACTGGACCCTCATCCTTAGAGCTCACCAGCACAATTACATCTGCACTTGCAGCTCTACCTTGCTCCAAGTTGCCTACGGTCTTTTCAGCCACACTAAGAGTTAAAGGCTTGCGTTAACTTACCATTTAGGTTGTTTGGAAATATTGGGCAAATAGAGTGTAGTTGGAGCTCAATTGAACTGTTTCTTGAAATTCTTTAGCTATCAGTTTAATCTCCCGGATCGAGAGTGAATAGTGGTCACATCGTTTTACAAAATAGTTTCCCTAACAGTTGGATTTTTAACATCCGTTTCCTTAATGAGTCTGAATAGTTGTCTATAGTTATCTATTCCCCCTATCTTTTCCATCACTTTTGCTTCCGCTACTACCACTGCTCGTGGTTACTGCGTGATTTCTTATAAATCTAATAAGTCGTCCATCTTGCGGGCCGCCATGTTGGACGATGTCTTTCCCTATGCTTAAAGCTGCGGCCACTTCGAAATAAACGGTTATCTGGGCATAGTTGCAGTAGTCGGTTGTCACTATCTATCGATGAGCTACGATACTGTGAGACCTGCACATATGCCTTTCTGTCTGATTCAGACCACTTAAATGGACATTAAAATCACCCTGTCATTACTACATTTAAGCACTTAGCTACTGGAAGGAGGAAAGTTTCCTATAAAATTTGTCTTTCGCTTTATTTGAGTTGCATTGAGTGAGACCGTATGGAGGGGGCTGAACGAAAAAGTGGTGATATATGTTCATCTTTCTGATTTGTAACTGTCCCGTTTAATCGGACAGCGCACAAGTGATTGTCTATCATAATCCTGTTTAAGAGAACCTATTTTGCTTTTGAACTTAGTGCTATACCACAAGAAGTAGATGTCGAGCTCCCAGGTACATAGAGGACCAACTGAGTTGGTCCTTTATACTGACTAGGTGAGGTCAAGTGAACAACCGTACTTCTAATTTACATGGATGTTTGGGAGACACGACGCACATCGATGGCGAGAGATGTCAAAGTCCTGGTTAAGGAAGCCTGTTGTTCAATTTGACATAAGATCCAAACAGTGGAAGTAGTGAATAGCAGAAGTTTTGGAATTTCAATAGTTCCGTGTAATTAGGTTCTTTAAATAAGTCACAACACGATAATACGTGTATAGAAGTGATGCTGTTTGAGTGGATACAAGTACAAAATAAACGAAATATAGAAAGATATATCAATAATGTACTTTTCAAACAACACAGCCAGCACTCTTTAACAATATTTCAGAATCAAACGGTAGAACGACGAGTACTTAAATAGCTAAATATGGACTATTTACTGGTTACGAAAAACGAATGTTTCTATTAAGAGAAGTGATTCTACCCTTAAAAAGATAACTTAACGCAACCAACTCGTAGCCCAATTAAGAAGAGGGAATAAACTTCGCTGGAGATATAGACAGTTATAGTACAGGAGTTGGTCATGGGAACAGGAGAAATATTAGGAAGTGTCGACAGAATTCGGTCATGAACAAGATGGTCACGGGCTCTGTTAGAGGTATGAGGGCGACTGATACTTCTTGGCTTCTCGCACCGTAAAACGATAGTTGCTCTTCATGTCTGAAAAGAAAACTGAATTATTCGTGATCTTAGCATGCTAAAAGCAAAATCATAAAGCCTAAAGGACAACTGCACCAGATTGATCAAATAAACTTTTGGTGTTTAGCCTGCGAAAAGTAGGCTCCCATACTTTGAAAGTCTTTCAGCCAGGGGTGGGAATCCGTGAAACAGTTTCAGAGTTAACCCTTTATAACCCATTTCCTCCGTTTTGAGGAGATAAAATGGCCTTAAACATTAGTGGTTTGAGAGAAACACCTTAGTACCAACGAGAAGCGTATTACGCTCATATGATTTTGAGATGGTGGAAAATCTTCTCCACACCTTAGTACCGCTACACCCCAGTACAGTCCGCAGTAAGCAATCGCCATCCGACCTCAAGTCGCTGCTTTTAGTCTTACGGTTCTCCGACCGAACTCTCTGTCGTGATAGGACCCACAGGAATAATCGTTTCAGGCCAACCTAGCTCGATTGAGCCATTGCGATAGGCAAGCCTGAACACTACATCAATGTAGGTATCAGCTACAATCGGGATATAACTGCACCAGGAAATGATTAGAGTGAAAAAACATTCGAACAATTTAGACGCACTAGAAGGATAAAACGAAAGACGATACAAAATACGAAAATACTGATTCTGGTGTTCACCATACCTTAAGCCTTCCTCTTATTACCATCGCTAGACACCCTACGCCTAAAACTCCAAGGGCAACTAGTCCCAATTTGGGGGATGGACGTAAATATTCTGCATATGTAACCTGGGCTGAAAAATGGCGTTGCAATGCTGGATCGTGCTGAAAAATATGACAAACGTAGGAGAAAATAAAATCAATAAAGTCGAACAAACTTCATGCAATAAGTTATGCTACATGATATCTTAAAGATAACTGCCTTAAGTCAATATCATTCCTACAAAAGTACTTACGGTGAAAAATCTCAAATATCTTGAAAGTGAATATGAAAAATTGCCAACCCAAACCTGAAACCCTACTTTTCCATTTTTTTGTCAGTTCAAACACCTATAAATATCTTCTTAAAAATAAATTATAAACTGATGGTGTCAAACACCACAAAACACAACTCTTAATAGAAAGCTTGAAAGTTTAAATATGAGTTAAAAAACCCATAACAACGGGTTGAAACTAAAATTCCAAAATATATAACTACCTTTGAGTGGTAATTCCAATCACTAATACTACGTGATATGTCAAAAGTTTAGGGTTCTGAAGGCGTGTAGTATAGCACTTACTACATATATTCCCATCACTAAACGACAAACATAGATTAACACTGTCTCACATCATATTTGCAAACATTGGTCCTATGAAACAAATTAAAGGCGATCTCAATATTAAACACAAAAATTTATCGTCTGCGATATTTGTTCTAACACCTGATGAATTATGGAGACTTAATTACTCGATCTACGACGTTTTTATTTTGTCATAGTTTTTGCTCAGTATGTGGTCAGCATCCTAAGTAGTAATAAACTCATTTTCAACCACACGTTCATATTTTACTGTCTTCTTTCCATTAATAAACACAACCAAACGATTTTAAATATGGTTATCTGTAAAACAGAAGCACTTAGTAAATGGATAAAATGTAGTTAATTTTATTAGTATAGTTCTCAAAGTATGGAGATAATTCGCGCTGCTACTCAGCGTCATGTAAAAAGTAATGATAATTTAACCAAGGAACGGGTTTAACTTTGAATGTCGTTAAACTTTTTCCTAGTCTAATTATTTGGGATCTAGAGGAGTCGGAAGACAATGACTCTGCTAAAAGACATACACACGATCTGGAGTTAGTGGAATATGTAATCAGAAATGTACTGCCTGAAGAGGTTTCAGGTGTACATATCACGAAAGTAATAAGACTCGGTAAATGGGTTGGAGGCGAGACCCAACCAAGAAGGATCTTGAAGTTGGTACTCAGGAATTTTGATGAAAGAGACATAATATTGAACAAGGCATACAAAATCCGTGATTCGAACATTTGTATCCGATCAGATTGGCCTCTTGAGGATCGAATCAAGTGAAAGAATATCCTTACGGAGTTAAGAACTCGAAAGCTAAGTGGAAAGACGAACTTTACGACTAAGAGTTTTTGGGTGGTCATGTCTTGAAAGCCAATCTTTCTAAAACCTGTATGAGTAGGACAAATGATCCCCAAAACACCTTAAATATGTGCTATACGAACGCCCGTGGGATACAGTATACACCTAGGATGCAGCTGAACGATCTAGACTTTGTAGATGACCTGGCCCTCCTATCGCAATCGCAACAACAAATGCAGCAGAAGACGACCAGTGCAGCAGCAGCCTCAGCAAGATTCTCCGATACAACACAGCATGCACCAATCCTGTCACAATTGACAGAGAAGATTTGGAACATGTAAAAACTTTTACATATTTGGGCAGCATCATTGATGAACATGGTGGGTCTGATACAGATGTGAAGGCGTGGATCGGCAAAGCAAGAGCAGCATATTTACAACTGAGAAACGTCTGGAACTCAAAGCAACTGTCAACCAACACCAAGGTCAGGATTTTCAATACAAATGTCAAGACACTTCTACTGTATGGGGCGGAAACCTGGAGAACTACGAAAGCAATCATCCAGAAAATACAGGCGTTTATTAACAGTTGTCTACGCGAAATATTTCGGATCCATTGGCCGGACACTATTAGCAACAACCAACTGTGGGAAAGAACAAACCAGATCCCGGCGGAGGAAGAAATTAGGAAGAAGCGCTGGAAGTGGATGGGACACACATTGAGGAAAGCACCCAACTGCGCCACGAGACAAGCCCTCACATGGAATCCTCAAGGCCAAAGGAAAAGAGGAAGACCAAAGAACACATTACGCCGGGAAACGGAGATAGACACGAGAAAAATGGACAAGAATTGGATAAAACTAGAAAAGAAGGCCCAGGACAGAGTGGGTTGGAGAATGCTGGTCGGCGGCCTATGCTCCATTAGGAGTAACAGGCGTAAGGATAAGGGACACGAACGCATGTAGTCTTCAAAATGCCCCCGAATGCCCTGGTACGGCCGAGAGTGGGGACAGTCCGCTCTCCCTCTCGAAATACTTTCACACGGCCGCGCGAATACAACCTCTGCCATGGAAGTCCTACTCATTGCCTTCTCGTGGCGGGGGTGTTGTTTACGAAAATGAGAGGACGAAAAGCGAATGTCCAGCGCTTTAACCGGATCACAAACCAATGGTGCACATGGGCTCCAGTATCCTGCGGGAACAAATGGCGTATGAACCAATCGTTGGTCACCGACTACCATGGGATTGCATCTCCTTACGATGCACCATGGCCTTGTGGGTTAGACCATTAAATCAAAGGCTCGGGGTGTGGCCCCCTAAGATAACCACCTGCTTCGGTTTGGGCACCCGGGCAGTATCACAGCCCACACACAAACGATGAACTCTTCATGTCTATGGAAATTACTTTTCTCGCTTCGAAAAACAATAAATTGATTCAAATTATTATCATTACAATTATTCTCATTATTAATACTATTATTATTATTACCATTATTGTCATTATTATTATTACTATTTTTATTATTATTTTCCACATTATTCACCCTCTTTTATACTTATACAGCCGCTCGTCTTTGGTGAAAATTCGACTGTATCTAAACGTTCTCGAGTCACTGTCCGGTTGAAAATTGTATGTTACCACTGAATACGAGAACTGAAGCAGTTTTTCTGAAACCACGTGCACCATTCAAACTGGCTGCCTTCAATGTTCGCACACTAGTGCAGGTCGGACAACAGATAGGGCTGACTATGTCTTTGGAAAGTCTTAATATTGATGTTTGTTGTATATCCGAGACCCGTATTCAAGACTCTGACGAAGTACTACAAATTCGATCTCCATCTGTCGCTTCGAAAAGCTTGTTTTACGTGCACTTATCCGGGGACCCTGTGGCATCTTCGTCTGGTCTTGCTGGCGTTGGTGTCGCACTAAGCGCTAGAGCTGAGGCAGCACTAGTCGATTGGATCCCCATTAACAGTCGGTTATGTGCTAGTAGATTAGAAAGTTCCATCAAAGTGAGAAGAAATCGGTGTGAGAAACGATGTCTTTTCGTCATCTCCGCCTATGCCCCGACAGATTGCAGCCCGGATGCAATCAAGGATGAGTTTTACCACCAGTTGTCTGTTCTTCTCCAGAAAGTGCGTTCGACAGATATTGTAGTACTAGCCGGAGACTTGAATGCTCAAGTCGGGCGTCTAGGCACAGAAGAGAGTCGTTTAGGTGGCCAATGGGGACTCGTTGGTCGCAGGTCAGATAACGGGGACCGTCTACTGCAACTTTGCACAGACCACAACCTGTTTCTGGCTAGCACTAACTTTCGGCACAGTCATCGCCGATGTGCCACCTGGCGTCCTCCCTCTGCATCCCAAGCCTGGACTCAGATTGATCACATCGCGATCAGCTTCCGCTGGCGTGGTTGTGTAAAAGACTGCCGCTCCTTTTGGAGTACCTATCTGGACTCTGACCATGCCTTGGTCTGCGCCAATCTTGCTTTACTTTTCAGTGGACAACGAAGTGACCGCCATCAAAGAATTGATATTAACAAGCTGGTTGCAACTTCTGTTGCAAGTAAGTATCGAACCGAGCTAGCCTCTAGGCTAGCTACCACTCCACCGAAAAGTATAAATGAGCATTGGTTGCAATTGCATGACGCCATGAAAATGGCGGGAACAGTCAGTTGTGGGTTTGCGAAACGTCCCGCTTTTAAGCACTGGGTTTCTTCTGGTTCCTTACAACTTATTGAAGCCCATCGGTCTACTCCGGGTGACCGTGAGTTTGACCACAAACGAAGGATTTTACGTAAAGAAATTGGGCAAAGCTTGCGTAAGTACCGAGAAGCCTGGTGGTCGGAGCGTGCTAATGAGCTGGAAGCAGCAGCTGCATCTGGTAACTACCGGAAGCTCTCCCAACTCATCCGAGCCACTGGCAGCAAGAAGTCTGGTGTGAGTGGAACAATCTGCGAGATTGATGGGATGCCAATCACTAACATCCATCGACGTCTTGGACGATGGGCGGAATTTTTCGAAAAGCAGTTCAACTGGCCTGCTGCTCCGGCAACATCGGTCAGACTGCACTGCCCTCCATGGCCGGTGACGACTGATCCACCAAACGACGAGGAAGTCCGCAAGGAACTTCAACTCTTGAAGCGTTACAAATCACCTGGCCCAGATGACTTATCTCCGGCTCTTTTTAAAGATGGTGGTGACTTTTTGACTAAGGAATTGACGACGTTGTTTACAAAGGTCTGGGAACTAGAGAGTGTACCAACGTCATGGAATGAGTCGATAGTTGTCCCTATCTTTAAAAAGGGTTCACGTCGTTCCTGTAACAACTATCGGGGGATAAGTCTACTTCCGATTGCGTCCAAGCTATTGGCTTCCATCATACTTCGTAGGTTGTTCAAAACCCGAGAAAGATTGACTCGCGAGTAGCAGGCTGGGTTTCGTTCTGGTCGAGGGTGTATTGATCATATCTTCACCCTCCGCCAAATGTTAGAACATCGCCATACTTATCACAGGTCAACAATCGTAGTGTTTCTTGACATCAGGGCTGCCTTCGATTCGCTGGATAGGACTGTTTTCTGGGATTGTCTATTGAAGAAGGGTGTGCCTGAGAAGTTTATTAACATCTTGAAAGCCCTATATAAAAACACCTCAGGCAGAGTGAGGGCACACAACCACCTCTCTCCATTGTTCTATTCGAGTAGTGGGGTTAGGCAGGGTTGCCCAATCTCACCATT